CCTTAAGAGCATGTGCTCCGGCGAGATGGAAAGGCCGAGAACACTACACAGCGCATGGTCAGACAGTGAGGAGCGAGAAAGAAATGACAAGACAAAAAATGAGTACATGGCCGCGAAAGGGCAAATGATAGACATGAGTTGGCCACTAATGGGCAAAGATAGAACACTAAAGGAAAAGAAGGAAAGATAAGGGAAAATGACTGTGACCGGAGGGTAAACCTGCAACATAATACACAAGCTAACGCAAAAGTATTAATTTTGGCTCTAATGTTGTGTAGTGTAAAAGCTAATTTAAAAAGTAATAATCTTGTCCCTATTGTCGTGTAATGCAAAAGTTATAACTCTTTGTTTCCCAGTGTTGTGTACCTAGTGTGGCTGGTTTTCTGTTGCCATTAATGTCAATTACAAAAAATGTTTTGTTATAAGAAAATCAGAAAGTTGATATTTAAAGTTGGTTTTAAATGTGAAAAATAGAATCTGTAAAATACAATACAAAATAATGTTAGTAAAAACTTCCATAAATGTAAAAATGAAATGCAAATACATACTGTTGACAAAATTTACTGGGAGTCTCGAAAAGACTGCATCAATTGCTTAAACGTAATGTACGGCTTTTGGTGGTTTAAAAAAATTCGTTCTGAATTAATCCAAGAAACGAACACTTTAAGAGAATAAAAAACACAGTTGAAAGTTTTTTTTGGCATTGCGATTACATTTTCAATGTCGACTAGAGGAGAATGGCAATCAAAATAAACTCCACAACGTCGGCAGTGAAAACTTTGAATATTTATGATTTGGCAGTTAGGAAACACATTTTTCATATTGAGCCATTTTAGCTGGGAGTGCTTGTTGATAATCAAATGCAGATCAATTGCTTTGACAGAAATTGATGGAGCCAATGCAAAACGAAACCACAAGTTTTCAAGTGATTGTTTTGAATAATCCAGCTTGATGTTTACGTGAGTTAAACACAAAAGTTGCGATAGGGCAGTAAAAAGGAGTCCCAGATCATTTGAAGTAATGTTCACATCTAGTGAAGTTAAAGATGGCAACATATTACAAAGCAACGGCAAGTTGTCTTGGTTGTACTTTAAAAACCGTTTTTTTAAACGGACAATGCGAAGGCGAGATGCATGATCAATGTAAAACAAACAATTGCGATCAAATTCTCCTAGCAAATGCACTTTTAAATTTTCGTTTGAGGCACCATACAGTTGGAGAGAAAGCAAAAAAATCTTCACGTTGATTTGGTTGCAGTCAATAACCACCATTTTAAGTCGCCCAAGGATGGGCAAGTAAGGAATATCTGGTAAGTTGCGATGACAACTAATTACCAAATATTGTAGACCAGAAAGGTTGTTAATAACGTCAAACAAACGATAAACTTGTTCAATAGCAAGATCACTGGAACCATGACAAATAACCGTCAAATGAGTTAGATTATTGGCCCACAATGAATGCTGTAGCAAAGCTAGCAGGTTTTGGCATTCATTGTTGCTTTTGATGATAAATTTAAGATCCGAAATTGCTGGAAAAATGTTGACGATTAGATTGACGGTTTGATTAAAAAATTGCTGGTCAAAATCTACTTCCAAAAACTTTTTTTCAGTAAAATTGGCAAACGGGTAAACTTCGTCTTTTGAAAAAACTAGCTTGCCACCAGCATTAATTTGTGACTGTTTCATAGTTGGCTCAACGACAAGTGCAAGACTGTTAAACAGATTTACAATTTCGGAAAATTTTAAATTCAAACTTGCGATGACCAGCGACTTTTTGTTCTTGTTAAACTTTCGTACACTGTTGTAAATTTGGAAATTGATCTCATTGGGTTTATTCCAAACTGCTTTAACCTGGTCGTTAGGAGTTGATATGTTGATTCCATTGATTGAACAGCAAATTTTGCTTGTTATTTTTTCTTTCAATTTTTCCATAATTGACAAATTTTCAAAGTTTTTATTCAAACTTTCGTCAGACTGAGACTGTCCAGAAGTCATGTTTTGTTTCAATTGATAAGTTTCAAAACTTCTGTTGCAAAACACAGATCTTTTGATGCAAAAACGTTTTAATTTTGCTGTTGTTTTGAAAAATTCACTAGGGGTATGTGAAGATTGGAAAACAAAAATGCAGAACAGGTGATTTTCTGGTCATGTAGCAATATGGGGAAAGATGTGAATAGCAGAGGTAAAGGAACGTTGTCACTGGCAATGATTACAGAATAATAGATTTGTGTTGAGAACGCGGGTTCATCTGTGCAAGTAAAGAGGGACCGAGCGGTGTGAAACGCAGGTCAACGGTGAAAAAAGCCTGGTGACTGCGGAGAAGGCCTAGTGATGACAAAGAAAGCTTGGTGACAACAAAGAAAGCCTGGTGACAACGGAGAGAGCTTTGTGACGACAGAGAAGGCCAGTCGACAGCGGAGAAAGCCTGGAAACGGCGAAAATGGCCTGGTGACGGCGGAGAAATGGTATGGGGTGTCTTGTGAAGTGACAAGTTAAAAGGCAGATTTTTCTGAACTGATAACAAGCTGACATCAGCAACACGACGTCTCGTGCAGTTTTAGAATTAAGAAATGTGTGAAATTTTTGTTGTTGTTCAGCAGAATACTACGCACTGAGCCTTTCTCAGCTCATTTTCATAGCAACAAGTAAGACGCCTGGATGCCAGGAGCCTTCATAGATGGATGGTGTTTTATACAATGGTAGTGTATATAATAGATGGCGCCTGAGTTGTTTAGCAATTAACAAAATTTGATGTGTCGGCGCAGTGGTTAAAGTCATCAGCAATGACGCTTGAGAAACGGAGTTCCAGAGTTCGATCCCTGACCCCCGACCTCTCACCCAAGAGTTTTTTGGATAGATTTCGGCATGCTGACCACAATCGCAGCTTGCGAAATCCGTACAACCGGAAGAAAGGCTAGTCTTTTTCGGTGGGTCAGCCACCGGCCATAACTCCCATCGGATCTTTGGTTGCTCAGCACAATACTACGCAGGTAAAAACTCAGTTTGTAACTGGGCTCGACCGAGTCCTTTCCACAAGGGGATGTTGTGTTAACCGTAAATGTATGTCTATGGGATTCTACATGAAAACATTCATTATTTTTAATACTGAATCAGTCATTGAGCTTAAATTTATAATTTTTACCTTAAAATAATTTCAAAAACTTTATCTTGAATTGTATAGAGAGGTTTTTAAAAAATTGTTTTTATTTTTTAATGATTAATCAAAATTGAAACACGTGTTTTATGCAATTTCAACACAATAAAAAAAATATAGCAAAAACAATATTTTCAAAAACCCCTTAATACAATCAAAAATAAAGTTTTTAAAATGATTTTATAATCAAAACTATAATTTTAAATGCAGTAGTTGAAACGGTATTCTAAATAATGTAAAGTAACTTTTTTAAGTAAAATCCTATAAACATGTAAAAATAAAAAGTTTGAATGAAAGTTGCCTTAATTGGCTGTTTTAACTAATTATGAGATAACTTAGACTTGACTTAAAATAATCGGTAAGTGTCACCGGCTAGCAGTTATGGAATTTACTAGCAAAAAATGCTTGTTTAACTAAACAACTAAATTAAATTAATTGAGAATGCTAATCTGGTGAAACATAACTGTTGTATAGAAAAATTTTTTGTTCATGTTGAATACACAAATTGATGCTTACTGGCAAACTGCTTCTTTTTGATGCATTTTATAACCATTTAACCATTATCTTTTATGGTTTTCATTTTAAAGATGTTACTTAAGCAAAAATTCTGTACTGATCGCCAAGATGACATGTTTGACTTGAAGATTTGCAACTAGAGAGATAAAGATTAGTAAATGATAAGCACAAAAAATCAATTTTATAATTATTTTATTTGTTGTTTCTGCTGTTGCTGTTGTAGTGCTGTTTGAATCTTGCATAAAACTTGCAAAAAAATTTTTACAATTCACTCAAAGTATAAGAAAACCGTTGAAAAACGTAGTAAATTGCAGAAAAAAATATACACAAATTAAAATTGAGTATACTCTTACTAACATTTTTGGTGGTTTGAAGTTAGAGAAAATTTCGTTACGCTGCAAAATTTTTTCAAATAATCTCTATCGTCAACGCAAGCAATAGCAAGGGCGAATGCTGAGGGAGGGGCCAACTTTTCTATTCTTTTCTTTCCTTTTAGAGCCAGTGCACCACTGCACCAATGCGTAGCACTACTAGAGGCATACTCAGAAAGATGAGACAGACGGGCCTGCGCTCAGGCAACAAGTTGACTGAAGATCGTTTCTTTAACGACATGATTGCAATCAGGGGTGGGAATCGTGTCCACTTTTCCGCTGTAGCTACACAGCCAACGTTACGCGCTCTCTAGCCTTGGCAGTGTAGCTACAGCGGAAAAGTCGACACGATTCCCACCCCTGATTGCAATGGCGAAAAATAAAACTTGAGAGAGAGAGAGAGAAACTGCACCAGCACACGTCAGTGCCAACGTTTCTGTCTAGACTGCAGTATTAGTGGCTACCATTGTAGTGGTAGTTTGCCAGTACTAGTGCGCAAAAGCAATCGCTAAAAGCGATGACCTGTTCCTCCCTCCTCGATGGCCGTTGTAGTTAGCACAAAACTTTTTCTTTTTTATCCGTTTTACTTTATACACAGTCAGCAGAACTTGACGGCTGAGGAGGAGGAGGAGGATGGAGACTTTATCGCTCACAAGGAAAAGAGTCGAGTTCACAGCCTCTTCTAATGTTGAGAGAGAGGGGGGGAAGAAAGGCTAGCCTTGAGCTGAGAAACAGAAAAGAAAGGAAAAAGGGAAAGAGGGGGAAAAGAGCTTCTACAACTCTCTGCACTCCAGAGCGTCACGCTCTTCCTACGCAGAGGCGGCCTTCTTTTTAGACGGTGCGGCGGCATTCTTCTCCTGGTACTGCTTCATCCGCTCCAGAATCACCGGGCGAAAGTGGCGAATGAGGCCCTGAAATTGAGAAGAGAAGGAAAGACAAAAAACACAAATTAGATAAACTCCAAACCCATCTCCAATATAAAACGCTTACCTGGACCGGCCAGGCGGCGCCGTCTCCCAGGGCGCAAATAGTGTGGCCCTCAATTTGCTTGCTCATCTCGAAGAGCATGTCAATCTCCGCCGGATCCGCCCTGCCCTCCACAAAGCGCCACATGATCTTGTTCATCCAGCCGGTGCCCTCGCGGCAGGGCGTGCACTAAAAAATAAAAACCCAAAAAATCGTTAGCAAAAACTCCCAACTTCCAACACTTACCTGTCCGCAGCTCTCGTGCTTGTAAAAGTGCGCCAGCCGGGCGATCGCCTTGATCACGTCCGACTGCTTGTTCATCACAATCAGAGCGGCCGTCCCCAGGCCGCTCTTCGCCTCCACCAGCCCGTCAAAGTCCATGAGGACGGTGCTGCAGATGTCCTGCGGGAGGATGGGCGTACTGCTGCCGCCGGGAATCACTCCGAGGAGGTTGTCCCAGCCGCCGATCACCCCACCACAGTGGCGCTCAATCAGCTCCTTCATCGGTATGGACATCTCCTCCTCGACGGTGCACGGGTAGCGGACGTGGCCGCTGATGTTGAAGAGCTTCGTGCCGGTGTTCCGGGGGCGGCCAAAGCCGGCGAACCAGGCGCCGCCGCGGCGGCAGATCGAGGGGGCGACGGCCACCGTCTCGACGTTGGCCACTGTGGTGGGGCAGCCAAAGACGCCAATGTCGGCGGGGAAGGGCGGCTTGAGGCGAGGTTTGCCTGGAGAAGTGAGAGAAGTAGAAATAGAAATCAAAATAGAACCTAGAATGACAACAACAAAATAGAACCCACTTACCTTGCTTTCCCTCGATGGACTCAATCAGGGCGGTCTCCTCGCCGCAAATGTACGCCCCGGCGCCTCGGTGGACGAAGACGTCAAAGTCGTAGCCGCTGCCGCAGGCGTTCTTCCCGATCAGGCCCTCCTTGTACGCCTCGGCGATGGCCAGGTTCAGATTGCTGGCCTCGTTGTAGAACTCGCCGCGGACGTAGATGTAGGCGGCGCAGGCGCCCATCGCCCGGCCCGCCACCAGGCAGCCCTCGATTAGCTTGTGCGGGTCGTGGCGCATGATCTCCCGGTCCTTGCATGTGCCTGGCTCGCCCTCGTCCGCATTGACCACCAGGTACTTGGGCCGGCCGTCCGGCGGCTTCGACATGAAGGACCACTTCAGGCCGGAGGGAAAGCCGGCGCCGCCGCGGCCTCGCAGGCCACTGGCCTTGATCTCGTTGATGATCCACTCGCTGCCCTTGAGGACGATCTCCTT